AAAAGTCATCAAAAATGAGAAGGTGAAGATCTTGTGGGACTTTTGAATACAGACATATCATCATTTGGAACACAACACATTAGATATCACAGTTGTCAAAAACAGAAGCATACAATTTATTAATATTGCTGTACCAAGAGACGCCAAAGTTGAAGAAAAAGAACTGGAAAAATAATGAAATATCACAACCTGCCAATTGAAATTACGTGATTATGGGTGAAACATGTAACAGTAATACCTATTGTCATCAGGGCACTTGGTACCATGTCCAAGAATTTTACAAAATACCGTATTTTTTGGAGTATAAGACGTATCTTTTCCCACCTAAAAGAGGGTGAAAATTTAGGTGCATCTTATACACTGAATGTAGCCCCACCCACCCACTGGTGCCCACCCTTTGGCCTCTACCTCCCAGCAATTTACCTTCTTGCAGCAAATGGGGAAAATGGGACTTGCGGAGGCAGCAATAGGCTGTGGCAATCCCTGCAGCCTGAAACAGCTGATGATCGGGAGGCCTGTGCTTAAACTGAAATTGCTGCATGGAGGCAAATTGCTGAGAGACGGAGACATAGGCAGATTCTTTTTCTTGTGCTAACCAGGCTTCTTTGCTGCAAGGAGGTAAGTCAATAACTATAAATGCCTATAGAATGTTGTAGAACATTGTACGTTTTAAGAAGATATTTGGTTGATACCTAGGATGCTGGCATCAACCCGTATCAACCATCAGCGCCAATCAATTATATTTGTGATACATTTTTAAATGTTCAGTTGATTGAGTTTCAGTTGATTGTGTTCCATCTTTAATGAATAAAAGATAACAACAACAACTTGGATAGGAGATTACTAGGAAATCCCATATTAGACTAGCCTGAATTTTAAAAAAAAATAATCACAAAGGAAGGCAGTGGAAAGCAATTTCTTTATTAAAACTTGCTCTTAAAGTGAGATAGGCAGCAAATGAATTTAGAAAATAAAATAATAAAATAAAACAATAAAATAAAATGCAACTACACTGATGTGTCCATGAATTGAACTTTGAGATTTTATATGTGCATAGATACTGACACACACTTATTCCCCTATCATGTATATGAAGAGGACTGAGCCATCAACCATCCTTTTTGTACTTTATTTCCCTATGTATTTTTTTATTGGAGGGGATTTTAATTAAACTCTTACTATTTAATAATACTTTTAGGTATAAAGAGAACATTCAGCGTCTTTCATCTCTTCACTTGGACAGACCTGTTGAACCTCTTGATCTGGCAGTTCATTGGGTGGAGTTTGTCATGAAGCACAAGGGAGCTGCCCATTTGCGGCCAGCAGCTCATGACCTCAACTGGATCCAGTACTATTCTATTGATGTCATTGTCCTCCTTTTGGCTGCAACATTCCTTTTCCTGTTTATCTCACTGAAGGGTTGTCTTTTTTGCTGCAAGAAGTGTTTCTGCAAAAATGCAAGATTAAGCAAAAGAAGTAAGTCAAAATCCCAGTAATGAAAAAAAAAAGTCAAATCAAAATGAGGTAGTGTATTCTATTATATTTTAAACAGATTTATACCAATTCTCACACAAGAATGATAAAGAAAGGGTTCTTGTTTTTGTTTGTAAGTGGCAATGAAGCATAGAAAAGTAAGGTGATCTCCTTTGATGCCTCCAATCAAAAGTATCACTTTTCTCTGTCTGACAACTTTACTTTGATGGAAATGTGCTCTTATGCAAAATGTCTTGAAAAGCCAGCATAAAGGCTGTTTCGATTTTCCTAACATTGACACAACAGTCCTTTGTAAAACTAGGTTAAAATGTGTTTTGCCAGTGGTTTGATTAAAGTGAAGCACCTCTTGAACAGAACCTGAATCAGAATCTTCAGGTGATCTTTTAACTCAAGCAGAAAACACAAATCATTTGAATCATTTAAAGCCTACATTAACATATTTGAGGGAGTTAATAGCCTATAAATATGTTTTGCAACTCTTGTAGTTTGCGAAGCTCTTGAGAAATCAGCTTTATTCCTAATTTGTCTTCTGTCAAGGTCCCAACTGACGAACCCACCAAGCAAGCAGACATGAATCTTTCTGGTCTCTTTCTACTAAGCTTTATTTCATATATCATATTGGCACAGATTGAAGCAAAACCAACTCTGATTAACTCCCCCCCTCAATAGCTGTATAGTTAAAAGACTCAAATTTCCATCCCCTCATTAGTTCAAATTACATTGCCCAATCAGCAGTCCCAATATTGTTTTGGCAATGGCCCAGGCCTTAGTGACCCAGGTGGCTGAACGACCTTGGTTCCCATAGAACTGGCTTCTTGTTGCTATCTGCTGTCTGGAGCCAGCATTCCACAGGTAGTTCCCTGCCCCACTCAGTCTCTGTGGCAACTGAGAAGCAGCAATGGTTGAAATCAGCACAATTTCTCTTTGAAGTTAACAGTCGGACCCCCCCCCCCTAATGAGTGGAAGGTACCTGGAAGATATTAAGTACATATATTAACCCCTTTTCCGTTTTATCCTCCCTCCCCCTCCCAGTAAGAGTCCTAGGCTTCTGTGGATATTTTTTATGAAATCTCCTCACTAGTCTATCGGCTTTTACATTTTGAGCCTTTACGCACTGTGCCTCTGACATTGGGAAACCTCTCCATTACACTAGGTATTGCAATTTTCCTTTGTAAGGCCTAGAATCTAAGATTCTCTTGATTTCATAATCTCCCTCTTCCACTAATACTAGTCCGGGAGCTCTCCCCTCAGCCAGCCTCAGCCCAGATCCTACTACTGGTTTAAGCAAGCTGCAATGAAACACTGGATGCATTTTTCTTAGCAATTGGGGAACCTTGACTCCACCATGACTGGATTAATCACTTTCACAATGGGGAATGTCCCTATGTACTTGGGACCCAGTTTCTTGCAGGGTAGCTGTAACTTCAAATACTTCATAGATAAATATACCTTCTCTCCTACGCTGAGGGGCCCCTGAGGTGACCATCTTTTATCTGCCTGTACTTTTTGATTCTTTTTGCTTTGGCCAATTCTCTCTTCATGTTCTCCCATGCACTTTGCAGAGAACTTACCCACTCTGTCAGACTTACTGACAAAGGGAGCTTCCAGGGGTATTCCGGCATGGGGACAAAATCCCGCTCCTCCATGGCAACGTTGAATGGGGTGAAACCTGTACTACTACTGTTTTTCTGCAAAAATAAGATATGGTCTTACTTTCTTTTAGACCCTGAAATAAGCACTACAACTTATTTTTCAATGTGTCTTATTTTTTTTCACATACAGGAAGCAGTGAGCACAGGGGCAACAGGGAGTGCTGCTACTTCCTATTAGACTTCCTGCTATTACTTCCTATTAACTTCCTTAGATGGGTCGGAGTTCCCACCCTTGGTTTTGGGGCCTGGCGGATCTCTATGACCTCATCACTTTTCAGCACTGTGTCCCTGGCTTTCGGCATGGATTTTGTAGGCTTTCCAGCCATGGGATGGTCATTCTTCCTCACTGGGGTTTTTGAGCAATCGGCTGCATTGTGGCCTTCCTTTCCACTCTTGAAACAGGCGGTCAAGCGCTGCGCTTCCTCTTGGGCGGGGACCTCTTCCAGACTTGGCCGGACTGGTACTTGTTCCTCTCTTGGTAAATTTCTGCTTCATCTGCTAGGACATACCAGGCATGGAGGCGATTTGGGGTTCTGCAGCCAATGCAGATTTGGTAGAAGTCATTGTTTAGTCCATCTTTAAAACAGCTCACCAGGATATCTTCTGGGTAGTCCATATGACAGGCCAAGTCTTGGAACTCCTGGTGTATTCAGCCACTGGCCAGTGGCCTTGCCTCACCATTTTGATGTGGTCTCAGGCTTTGCGGTCAGCTGAGGGGTCCTCGAACTGGCAGCGGAGAGCCATCATGAAGCAATCAAAATTCTGGTGTTCCAGGGTGTTTGTGTTGTGGATGGTCACTATCCACCTCACAGCTGCTCCTTCTAGGGCTAGGGTGATGACTCAGATCTGGGCTCCCTGAATTGGGAAATTTTGCCCATATTCTTGCATATATGTGAGGACATGGGCTAGGAAGACTCCCAAATGCTAGGGATCTCCATCAAACTTGATGCCCAGGGAGGATGCCTTCCATTCTGGCTGGGGAACTCTGGTCCCAGACTTGGCGTGGAGGAATTGCAGGGTGGCTGCTGCCGCAACTGCTCCAGCTCCCACAGCTCCCAGAGTGGGAGAGTTCACCCTTCCTCTGTTGGCTTCACTTTGTCTCACACCCTCTCCATCTCTCAAAGAAAAATGGGAATCAGATTTAAGAATTAGTAGTTCAGTTACACTATGGGTTACATTTTGGAAGAATACCACATTATGGTTTATAATAGCAAAGATCAGAAAAAAATATTTAAAAGTTATTCACAGATGGTTCACTCATACAAGTTGCTATAATTACTGGGAGAGTCCCAAATAAAATGTGAAAATATGGTAAACCATAATGTACTTACAATATGTATATGCATAGTGATTCTGCAAGGTTGTATAAAGATTCTGGAGTGAAGTAATAAGGGAAAATAACAATGTTGATATTAGAAACTTTAACTTCAGTTCCACGGTATGTTTATTGTCATTATTTAGTGGAATAATCTATGGAATTAAAAATACAACTGTTCAGTACATGATGGTTGCTGCAAGGTTAGCTATAAGTCAATACAAGTAGTCCTCAGCTTGCAACACCAATGGAGCCCAAAATTTGTTTTGCTAAGTGACACAGTTGTTAAGTGAGTTTTCCTCATTTTGTGACTTTTCTTGCCACAGTTGTTAAGTGAGTCACTGCAATTGTTAAGTTAATAACTTGGCTGTTGTGAATCTGGCTTCCCCATTGTCTTTGTCAGAATATCGCAAAAGATGATCATGTGACCCTGGGGCACTGCAACCGTCAAAAATATGACTCAATTGCCAAGCATCTGAAATTTGATCCCATAACCATGGAGATGCTACAACAGTTGTAAATGTGAAAAATGGTTATAAGTCACTTTTTCAGTGTAGTTGTAACTTCGAACAGTACTAAACAACTGTTGTAAGTTGTATTTTGAAAAAATACAGAGCCTTCATTATTAGAACTCTAGTATGAAAAATTGGAAAGATTGTTGAAATGAAAATTTTGAGGTCCAAAAGATGGAAAATAGTGGAATGTACTAGAAAAGTCACCATATTTCTTTAAATTTCTTTAAGGATTTCTTTAAATTTTCTAACTTGTCTTGTTCTTTCCTTGGGAGAGCACCGAAAGCGTTAATGAGACCAGCTTCTGTGCTGTTAAGTATCTCTTCACCGGCAGGGCTGGTTGACTCCCACTGTCTTTCTCTCTCTTTTCCAAGATTGAAAATGAGGAGGAGGCAGCCACCTTGGGAGCTTGCATGTTAGTTATTAACGGAGTAACCCTTTCCTCACCAAAGACTCTGATGGGAAAGATTGGGAAGGAGGCTAAATATGCCTTCATCTTGAATAGCATCTGTGGTATGGTGGGCTGTTGGAAAGACAGGAGAATCCGCTTCCAATTTGGGTAACCACTCCACAGCACGGAGATCAATCATGCCCCTGTGATAGTGAAGAAGCTGGCTTAGGGAATTTAATATTGCACGTCTGGAATTCCAACGTCCATAATTAAGTCCATTCAAATGGATTCTAAGAGCTATCCGTTGGGTTTGTAGTGAGTGATGTGATTGTTGTAATTGAAGGAGGGATGCTTTCCTGATTTCTTCTTTATTGATACCTTTTCCTCTCGTTGCCTTGTCTGGGGAGGGACTGTTTTTCTGAGAGGACTGCCACCTTTTATCCGACTCTTTAACTGTTTCTCTGGCTCTTTGCTCTTTTTCCTTTTCCTTATGCTGCGTATGGGAGTTAACCAAGTCTTCTGCAAGAACTTTAGTGGGGGTACCTGGG